TTATATTAATAGTTTATTATTATTTTTATTTGTATATATCAAATATTTTTTTATTGTAAGTGTTCCAAGAGTATGGCTTTGTATAGATGTTTGATCTGTTTGTCACAAAGCACTTGGTATGATCTCCCCCCATTTTTATCATTTTTGATAAACAAAAGACAAAAAATGAAATTGTGTTGAGCTCCTCATTTTACAATCCATATTGAATGATACAAATAGTTTATACTGTAAAATCTACCGAAAAGGGTATCTATATACAAAAATTAAGTTTATTGAACAATGAAATTCATATAATTGGATTACATTTATCTTATAAAACAACTAAATAAATTACCTATATTAAAATTTATATTATCCGTTCAATTTTCTAAGATAAATTTGATCAAATTAATCAAAAATTTTATAGGAACTATTTTCTGGGTGAACCCTACAAATGAATGGTTGTTTGAAGCACTAGGTGGGCCTCATAGTGGGCATGTTAATTAAGTAAACCAACCTCCTGGCCATGTTTGGAAAAATTGTGATTTTTTTTTTTTAAAAGGTATTGTTTGAGTAGTATAAAATGTGATTGTTATAATAGGTATCAAATGCAAAATATCGTGTAAACTACAGAGACTATTTATATAATTTATTTTTAATTATTTATTATTATTTTTTTGGACCGGAAACTAATAGTTTTTTATTTAACTACTAGACAAATCATAATGAGTCTTCAAAGAGTAAGATGAATAAATCTGTTTAATAATTCTTTGGCTATTTAATTCTGTAATTTTTAGTTTTCTTTATGTACATCAAATCTGTTTCAATGTTACTATTTATTTTTCGTTATGAGTATTCTAAGTCTCTTGGGTTTTTACTTTTCTATTTTGTGTGCTTCTGTATATACTTATGCTTAAATAGTTTTGGAGTTTGTCCTGTTTGGTATGTTTCTATTTGGTATTTTTTTCACTTACTTTTTATTTTATTTTTGTTTCTCCTATTCAATTTTTTGGTTTGGCATAGGTGTGGAGATCTATCATGATCTAAGAGGATATGTTAATTAAGTAATAACCAACTTCTCTGCCCATGTTGTGTTTTTTTTTTTAAAGGTATTGTTTGAGTAGTGAAAATTGCAATTGTTAATTGACATATGGTGGGTAGGCTTACCAACCATAAAACCCATAATTCAGTTTTTAAAAACTTTTGGGCTTTTTAGGGCTTTTCCCCATAATTCAGGGTTATGAAGATATGTATTTTTGTATTTTTTTTTGTAATACTGTTAATTATACTTTCTGTAATACTAAATATTCCAACTAAATTAAACATTATTTTGCATTATATTTTTTTGGTGTAATAATGTAAATTTTTTTGCAGGTTGCTTTATGACTTTGTATTGTTCAAAATAAACAACTTCTCGGGTGATTCTTTATCTACACTTATCTACTTTGACTGTAAGTATTCTAGACTTATTGATGGATTATTGTATAGTCCCCCCCTCCTCTCCCCCAAAATATAGAGTTGAGTATGCTTTATTTTTGCCCAAAGTTTCTCTCTCAAATTTTTTATTTTATTTTATTTATTCTAATTATGATATATCAATTGTGATGAATCAATTCTTCTTTATTTTCACAAAAGCACACACACAAATTTAAGAATAAAGAAAAACCCAAATATGAAATCCAAATAAAAATAATAGAACAGACAATAGATATACAAGGAGGACACCAAAAGTGATTAAAATTAAAAATATATATATATTTTTTTCATGATCTTTCTCATAACATTATTTGAATTGTTCTTAAAAAAAATTAGAAAACAAAACTTACAAATATACTTGAACAAAAATTACAATTATTTTAATATTATAATTTTTTTTTTTTAGTTGCATAAATATGTGCAACGTCGTTACAAGGTAATTTACTTATAGGTTTGTATATATAACAAAAGTTACGTACTTCATTTTTTGTCAATTCTATCTTATTTTTTTGTAGTTTAATGTTGTCATATATGTATGTCCAAAATTGCATCAAAACAATTTGAAGAGATTGTTGAATGTAAATTTTGATTGTTAAGTATTTTTAATTTTTTTTATATTTAATTCAATGTTTGAAAAAATTATATTCAATTTGTTTTTAAATTATATTTCAAGTTGCACATGCTTTGGCTCATCATTACCAGGTAATCTCTTTCACTTGCAATTTTATTTAATTCTCCACAAAATGACATTAGTACTTAAAATAATATGCATTATAAAAATACTAGCGGAATATTTAATTGAATGTTTGAAAAATTTATATTCAGTTTGTTTTTCAATTATATCTCAAGTTGCATACGCTTTGGCTCATCATTACCAGGTAATCTCTTTCACTTGTAATTTTATTTAATTCTCCACAAAATGAGATTAATACTTAAAATAGTATGCATTATAAAAATGTAAAAACAAACATATGAAAACACTTACATAAAGGTATAAAGCTTTGTGAGTATACGAGTGACATTGCAGTTAACAATCTCATAATATATTATTACTGCCTTTTACATAATTACATATAAATAACTAGAAAATATGAAATTAGTGTCTAATGTATAACGTAGGCACATTTTAAAAATAACTAAATTTCATCTACGTAACATATATATTATTAAAAATAAACAGTTAAAAAAACTTACATAAAAATACAAAGCTTAGGATATATTATTATTGTCTTTTACATAATTTTATATAATGTATGTACATTTTAAAAATAGCCGGATTTCATCTACGTAAGTGTTAGTTTGCTAACAATCTCAAGAAAAATGAATCATGATTACCCTGACACATCAAATTTGAGACATGTACAACAACAAAATCGTGAACGACGTCGTTTATACCTACAACAGAGGAGGCAACGCTAAGCTTTGGAGTCAAATGCTCAAACTGAACAACCACAAAGAGAATTCGAACAGTTCCGCCTTCAAAACATGAGCACTGAACAACGCTTAGCAAGATTGGAGCAACGTCGTCTTGCTCAGCGTAGGCGAAGATTGTTCATTCGCGAACAAAGCACGAGTTCTAATGTGCAACAAAGAGAAATTCAAAGGGAAAGTTTGCGTAATTATGCTAGACAAAGGAGGGCTGCTTTGACTACTGAACAGCGCGAACAACAACTAGCAAGGTGACGTATATCGACAAAGAAGGCAAATATCTGAAAATCTCGAACAAACTTCTCATCCAGATCAAGCACATAATATGACAAATGCACAAACAAGTAGTAAGTATTCAAATTTTGTAAATGTTTTTTGCTTTTTAAAAAAAAAGCTTTTACACTTCCAAATTTTACATTAATATTCATTTAATTTATTATGTACAATTTTAACTGTTAGGATGCATGTTAAACTTTTTCGATGCAATCCCAAGAAGAAATAGAACAGGATGGCGCAGGCCGAGAGCAACAGTTTTGCCAACCATTCACGAAGAAGGGGATTTAGTTGTGACTAATGTTTTTAGTCGTGAAAGTAGAATGACTCTATGCTCACGTATCGACTTATTCTGATATGCACCTACTCATTCGACTTATGAGCATGAAAGCACAAGTGGCAACAGACAAGATGATCCTCACGAAGTTCAGATGGAAGGTAAAAAAAAATTGTTCAGTTTAAGTACTTTTACAAAACAAACAACCTTTACAATAAATTTAAAAAAGATGACCATGTAAATATGATGTGCAGTACAATTACAATTAATATTGAACATGCAACTCAAACACTTTCAAATAAATACTATTCTGTTAATAATAAACCTATACATCATACATGTATTGTTATAGGAAATATCCCTCATGTCGACCACAATCAAGATGCTTTCAGTGATGAAGATATTCTAGATAATTGATCATTTATCCATAGGAGATATCACAATTGTGCAAGAAATTTTCATGAAAGTGAAAGGTTCCAAAGAATGCAGTTCCCTGCTCCAACTACATGTAGACATTGCAACGCAAGATTGTTCCACTGTGAAACGTCTACCATGTGTTGTAATAATGGAACCCTTGTTTTGCCACCAGTAACAGCTCCAAATCAGATGATTGATATTTTCTCTGACCAAACAGTGGAGGGTCGTCATTTCAGACAAAATATTCGATCCTATAATCATGTTTTCTCATTCACTTCAATGGGTGTTCATGTTGATGAAAACTTAGCAACAAGAACTCGAGGTGTGTACACGTTTCGTGCACAAGGATCCATATATCATAAGATCAGGAGTCTCTTACCAAATTTTAGCGACAGACCGAGATATTTGCAACTGTATGTTTATGACACTGACCACGAGAATGAGAATCGAATGTCTGAAAATAGAGAATTACACTTGGATTTGCTTGACAAGATAAAGAATATTTTAAATGCTCATAATCCATTTGTACACACGTTTCGCCAGTTAGCTCAGCGTCCAGATATACATGAATGCAGACTTCAGATCAAAGAGCAACCACGTAATAGGCCCCAATACAACCTTCCGACTGCTCCTGAAGTTGCTGTAGTATTAGTAGGCGCCGAAGAAGCAGGAAATTTAAGACCAAGAGATATCATTGTCCAATCAACCAGTGGTCACCTCCTAAATATTCCTGATATTACCGGATATTATGATCTATTACAGTATCCTCTGTTGTTACCCTGTGGTTCATATGGATGGGATGAAAATAGCAGAAGTAATGATGGCAGAAAAGTAATATGCTGTGATTTCTATTCTTATATGCTACAGGTACAACATACACATAATATCAAAAAATTACTTCGTCGAAGTTATTTAATCTATAGTTATTTATAATTATTCAAATACTATCAATTCAGATTCGCCCTGGTGACCAATCTCTTTTCCTTCGAGGAGGTCACCTCTTATAACAGTATGTTGTAGATAATTACGTGAAAATTGAGTCCAACAAATTAAGATGGATACGTACTCATCAGAATCACATTTGAGCAAATTTTGATCAAGGTCTTCTAGATGCAGTACATGCTGGTGAAAATTATGGAGGTACAAATTGTCACTACAACTACATGTATTCACGTTCGTTTATATTCATACATATAATTTTTTTTTTTGTGAAATCCAAATTTGGAGCAGGTAATGTCGGTCGTAGAACAATATTACCGTCGTCATTTGTTGGTAGCCCACGAGACATGTATCAACGATATCAAGATGCAATGGCTCTGGTCCAAAAGTATGGAAAACCTGATCTTTTCCTTACAATGACTTGCAATCCAAATTGGCCTGAAATTAAAGCTGAGTTACTACCTGGACAGTCACCACATGATCGCCCTGATTTGCTGACAAGAGTATTTCATTCAAAATTTGATGAGATGAAGACCGACATTCTTACAAAACATGTACTCGGGAAGGTTCTAGCATATGCATATGTTATTGAGTATCAAAAAAGAGGCTTACCACATGCCCACATGGTCATTATTTTGGATGAAAATGATAAGTTACGCACTCCTGACGATTATGATAACATTTTCATAGCTAAAATTCCAGACAAGAGATTAGAACCTAGATTATACAGTGCAGTTTTGAAACACATGATACATGGCCCATGTGGAATGTACAATGAACGATCACCATGTATGACAAATGGTTAGTGCAAAAGACGTTTCCCAAAGCCATTTTCTCCAATTACTACACTTGGAAACGATTCATACCATGTTTATCGAAGAAGAGAAGGGGAGTCAGTTCCATTAGAGAGTAATCCAAGCATCTTGGTGGATAATAGTTGGGTCATTCCATACAACCCATGGTTGCTCTTGGAATATGATTGTCATATCAATCTTGAAATTTGCAGTAGTGTTACAAGTGTGAAGTATTTATACAAATATGTTTATGAAGGGCCTGACCGTTTTGCACTAGAAGTTCGTCAAGGTCCTGATTATGACGAAGTACAACAGTTCATAGATGGAAGATGGGTTTGTGCTCCAGAAGCATTGTGGAAAATATTCAAATTTCCAATGACCAGAATGACCCCTAGCGTAGAACGCCTCCAAATACACTTACCAAATAAGCAGCAAGTGCGGTTTTATACGTTCTAAGACATCACAAATGTTTTAGGAGATGCGTATTATTCCAGAACAATGCTTACCCAATTCTTTCAATTAAATGTTGATGACGAAACTGCAAATCGGTACTTATATCGAGAGATCCCTCAACACTATAGATGGTGCAATAGCACAAAGATTTGGCAGTTGAGATTGAATCGTCAAAGAGTAATTGGTAGAATTTACACAGTTTCGCCATCAGAAGGGGAGAGATTTTACCTAAGAATTTTACTCAGTCATATCAGAGGACCAAAATCATTCGACCATTTGTTAATGGTTAATGGAATTGCATACCCAACTTTTAAACAAGCAGCTGAACATCATGGTTTGTTAGAGCATGATGATAGCATACAACAATGTTTGTTAGAAGCTGTAACCATGCACATGCCATCAACATTAAGGAGATTGTTCGTTACAATTTTGGTTTACTGTATGCCAACAGGGGTGCGAAGTTTGTGGGATGAAATTTATCCTTGCTTGATTGAAGATTACATATCTTCAAACAGTATGAATAATATGTATATCCTTAACAAAACTCTACAAGATATAAATCGTCTCCTGCTACAGCATAATAAGAACATATCAGAATACGATTTGTTTGAGATGACAATGAATTTGGATGATAATTCAACAGTTCCAAAGGTCATACAAGATGAGCTTTCCATTGTAACTCTTCGAGAAGACTTAAATTCCATTCCACGTTAAATAATGATCAATGCTTAGCATTTAATTCAATCATGGAGGCTGTAGAATGCAATACTGGTGCAATCTTTTTATGGATGGACCAGGAGGAACTGGAAAGACATATTTATATCGTGCACTGTTGGCCTTAGTGAGAAGTCAAGGTCGAATTGCTATTGCAACAGCAACTTCTGGAATTGCAGCTACACTTTTACCTGGTGGAATGACAACCCATTCAAGATTCAAGATCCCATTAAATCCAGAGGCTTCATCCGTGTGCTCCATTACTAAACAATCAGATTTGGCAGAATTAATTAGACGTGCAACAATCATCATTTGGGATGAAGCTACAATGACGAATCGTTATGCTTTTGAAGCTTTGAATTGAACACTCATAGACATCACTGGTGTTGATTATCCATTTGGTGGCAAAATTATGGTGTTTGGTGGTGACTTTCGTCAAGTACTTCCAGTTGTTCCTAAAGGCACAAAACTGAAACTATTGCTGCATCGATAGTTAAATCATCTCTCTAGAGTCACATTCAAATACTTCGTTTAAGGGAAAATATGCGATCTATAAATGATCAACAGTTTGGTGAATTTCTTTTACGTGTTGGAGATGGTGTATAACCTACCATTGGAGATGAAATGATCAAAGTACCAACATCGATGGCAATACCATGGAACGGCGAAGAATCAATAGTTCGACTATTACAAGAAATTTATCCTGATATCATAAACCATTCCTTTGATGCCGGGTATATGGTTAGTAGGGGCATAATAACTCCTCGCAATGAAGATGTCGACAAGCTCAATGAGAAAATCATTCAAAGATTTCTGGGAGTATCAAGAGTGTACCACTCATTTGATAAAGTTGAAAATGATACCCAAAATTTGTATATATCAACAAGAGTTTTTAAATTCCATTTCACCCGGAGGAATGCCCCCATATGCATTGCATTTGAAAGTTGGAGCCCCAATTATGCTTTTGAGGAACCTTGACCCTTCTTCTGGTTTGTGCAATGGCACAAGGCTATTGTGTCGAGCTTTGAATAATAATTTCATAGATTCAGAGATTTTAACAGGACATTTCAAAGGCACGAGAGTTTTCCTGCATCGCATTCCATTAAAGGCTCCGGAAAACTTAAAACTTCCATTTGAAATGACTCGCACACAATTTCCAGTTCGCCTTAGTTTTGCTTTGACAATAAATAAATCACAAGGTCAAACAATTCCACATGTGGGAATTTACCTTCTGGATCATGTATTTAGTCATGGACAACTATATGTTGCTTTATCTCGAGGGGTGTCAGATCAGACAACAAAAGTCTTGGATAAAAAGGGTTCAGTTAATAATGAAGAAGGAGTGTGTACCCACAATGTAGTCTACAAAGATGTTTTGTTACCAAATTATTGATACACGAGGTATGTACTAAATATGTTCTTATTTAGCTTATATTATGTCATTTTTTTAATCTACAATTAATGTACTTATAATATATCTTCATATAATTATTAATTGTAGGAATACTTGAAAAAATAAAACTATTTCAACTTTGGGAGATTTATCAAGAGGAGGCAAATATGGTTGCATATAAGAAAGTTACAAATCAGGTATTGGCTTCACTTATGTTCAAAAAATTATGTTTGTAAAATTTTTGTTATTTAGTCTGGCAACATTCGCATATATTTTGAGTTTGAATATACCTTTTAAATTAATGTAGGTCAAACAGTTCTCCATATACAGTCTTGGATGGAAGGTCTCTATTAAAGTTGATAAAAAACAATTGGGAAAATTAATCGTGCGAGAGCTTTTGAGGCAATGACAACATCGGTATGATAACGTGTTTGCGGGGCATTTTATATGAATCATTTCAATATGTTACATTGCTAATAGCTATCGTACTTTTTTTTAACAGAAATCCTATCATATCTGATAGAGCAAGTATATGCAGCAAAGACAATATGGACATATATGTGGTAAAAATCAAGTCTTATGAAGTTTACTACTATGTTCCATATATTCATATTTGTAAATTTACAATTTAATCTTAGATTTCATACATTTGTCAAACAATCAACTTACAAGGAAGTGATATATTTTGCCTCAGTTTTATAGGCAACGAATGATACAAAAATTGAAAGCTTACAAAGATATGTGCACCGTCGTTACAAGGTAATCTACTTATAGGTTTGTATGTATAACAAAAGTTACATATTTCATTTTTTTGGTCAATTCTATCTTATTTTTTATAGTTTAATGTTGTCATAGATCTATGGCAAAAATTGCATCAAAACAATTTGAAGAGATCATTGAACGCGACATTTGATATGAACGATGTCAATCTATGTCGATATGTAAGTTTTTAATTTTTAAATTTTGTTTACAAAAAATTAATGCAATAATTACCTTTTGTGTCTTTATATAAAATAAGTCAATTACAAAACCAAAGTAATTATTATACTCTATTGGCTAAAGTACGAATATGTATAATTATGTCTCACTTTAAGAACGTAAAATTTTAATTTAATCAATGTATATTGTTAGCAAACTAATTTTTACATATATCTTATATATTTTTTGCAGGATTTGCAGGATCTCCAGTCTCATGTTACCAAATTCAGATTTTATATGAATTTTTGTTGTACATATTTTTTAGTTAAGATTAGTAAATATTGTATTTTTTCAAAGATTTGTACATCTTTTAATGTATGTGTATTTTATTTATCAAATACATTAATATCAAATATTACATTGTACATAGTTACTTATTTTATTTATATGTATATTGTTAAAAAAAATAATATGAAATTCATATTATAATTCAAAAAGAAATTGCACACGCATCGCGTGTGCCCGACCGCTAGTATATAGATATGTTCTCAAGAAAATGGTGAAAAAAAGGTAATGTTTCAATTAGGGCTGTTCTAACCACCAAGGATCCTCTAGAGTAAAATTTTCCTAAAGTTTCCTAGAGTCCTACATTGTGTGGTTGAGATTTACTGGCAAGTCACATCAGAAAAATTGATGTGACTTGCCAATAAATCTCAACCACACAATGTATCACTCTAGGAAACTTTAGGAAAAAATCACTCTAGAGGATCCTTGCTCTGGTCGTGCGGTCCAACGATGGCAGCGGAGCTTGTGGTGATGGTGGTCCGTGGAGCTTTAAGTAACATAATAAAAAAAATAAAAATAAAAAACAAAAGGGTTCAAATGTTAAGCCAAATTAATTTTAAAATACCAAAAAAAGTCTTCTTTTTTCCTGTAATCCTTTCAAATACAAAAACCAGTCTTAATCAAACCATACATAGAGAAAAAGAGATAATGAGAGAGAGGAGGAGAGAGATTTGTATCCAGTCTTTACGAATTTTCGGCCAAATATCAATTTAATTCCAACATTATTTTTTTTTTGATCAGCGAGAGAAAATGAAATATTATTGATGAAAACCGAATAAAGAAATACATCAATAAAGAAGACGAGGAAGGGGGGTGCAAAGAGCATCATAGCGAAACAAAACAATCCCAACTAGGTTGGCACTGTTGAGAAACGCCCAATCATATGCTAGCACACCGCCAAAAGATGGTGAATTTGTGAGAAACCAACCACAACAACAAACCCACACCAAAAAATAACCAAAGCAAAATAAACCTCAGTCAGGCATGGAGATAGCAAAACCATCAGTCAGCCAAGAAGCAATCCAACAGATAGCAAGCACACAAAACTCCTATGCTAACACAGGACCACCTTACAACCAAGCCCACAAAACTCCTTTGCTAACAGAGAGCAAATGACACTCAGAAGGCCTCTGTACTGCCTTCACAGACCAGCACCTAGCTGATACAAACCACTCTGCAACCAATCTGCATACATACCAATCTGCTATATACCCATCTGCTACCAATCACACTGCTACCCATCAGCAGAGAATGATCTCTTCTACCTTGCTTTCCATCAGCAAACCATATCAGCTAACCAGCAGAGGATGGACATAACCTCAAGAGCAATGCAAGACTATTAAACAGAGGCACACAGCCAGCCCCTGGAGGCCAGAAGCTCTACCCTATGGCTGCTAGGTAGTAGGACACAGCAGCGACCAAGGCAGATTCTAGAACACTTCAGTAAGGAGCACCTGCAATGTTAGACTGTAGGACACTTCTGTTCACCTAGATTTATTTAGAGCTAACTCTGGCAGCCTATATCCAGAGACAGAATTACAATGTATGTAGAACACACATGGGGCCTGGCCAAACAAACACTTTTTCACTCAACCTCCATTTCTAATGCAGAACTTCACCTGTGGCAGATTAA